ACTCTTGATCTTGGGGTTTAAGTTTGAGGCCCACATTGGGTATAGAGATTACTTAAAAATAAAAAAACTTAAAGAAAAAGGTGCGGTATATATATATTCATATATATACCCATATATATATCCATACACACACACACACGCACACACACACAGAGGAATATTATTCAGCCATGAAAAAGAATGAAATCTTGCCATTTGCAACAATATGGATGGAGCTAGAGAGTATAATGCTAAGCAAAATCAGTCAGAGAAAGGTAAGTACCATATGACTTCACTCATGTGGAAGTTAAGAAACAAAACAAATGAGCAAAGGAAAAAGAGAAGAGAAAAACCGAGAAACAGATTCTTAACTATAGAGAACAGATGGTTGCCAGAGAGGAGGTGGGTAGGGGGATGGGTGAAATAGGTGAAGGGGATTAAGAGTACACTTATCATGATGAACACTGAGCGGTATATAGAATTGTTGAATCACTATATCGTACACCTAAAACTAATATAACATTGTATGTTAACAGAAATTAAAAAACAATTTTAAAAATTTTTTAAATAAATTTAAAAAAATAAAATCTACTTCCCACTAGCCTCATATACTCAGAATCTTATAGTCGAAGAGGCCAAAGAGATAATTGAATCCAGTGGTTTTCAAAATGACATCCCAGACCAACAGCACCAGCATCTCTAGGAAACTGTGTTGGACATGCCAATTCTTTACCCCACCCCAAAACTTCTCGAAAATCAGAAACTCTGGTGGTAGAGTCCTGCAATGGAGTTTTAACAGCCCTCCAGGAAATTCTGATACAGGCTATAGTTTGAGAAGCAATGATCTTATCCAATCCCCTCACTGTCGAGTGATTTGCTTAAAAACACAAGGTTTCTTAGAAGCAGCCACATCTAAAACCTAGGCTTTCAACCCCCCAGTCCAATGCACTAATAACAGACCCACGATGTCCCACCAGAGGTCCTAGTTCTTACCTCTTGAGACAGTAAAGCATAAACTGAATTCCTATTTCAAAAGAACACCACCACAATTATCCTATCTCCCTTTCCCCTATCATCATTTTCTGTTCCATTAACTTTTGACATGTGGTATGGTTTTATCTTGCCTTGCATAAAATCTGTCACTTTCATTGAAGTACAACATTCCTTAAAGGCAATAGAAGTCTAAAAATTAGATGCTTAATTCCTTTAACTGATTCAAACTATTATTTTCAATAGCACTAATAAGTGTTTCTCATGTATCTTCTCTACTCCATCATTTTTCTCCTTTTTGTAGAGGAAATATTATTCAGCTATATTAATCAATTGATGACTTTCCTACCCTCATATCAAGGGTCACTCAAATGCCATATGTCCCACAGGCCAACTTCTTCTGGTATATTGTGCATAAATATGTAAAGGTGAGCAAGACACCATAAATAGTAAGTAGACCCAAAAATATCTGCAATAAACTGAGAGGAAGAAAAAGGGAAACAGAATGAAGATTAAGTCAATCCTCTCCTTGACAAATCAAAACCAAGAGTAAAATTAACCAAGGAAGTTGTGTTCAACATTTAAAAAATAAAATTTCAATTAAACATACATAAACCCTGGATACCGTTAGCTTATCAGAACTTCAAATTTTAAAATAAGAAAAATTTGAATAAGCTAGTAATTAAATTCTTACCAGGCCTGGTGTGGTATCTTCATCACTGTCTAGATCCTGACTGCTTTCCGTATCAACACTGAGAATCACTGTATCCGAAGTGCTCTTGTGTTGTCGCTTGTTACTTTCAGTATAAACATCTAAGGATGATTTTTGCAGAGTAGATTCTGCCTTGGAAGACGTGCCTTCCATCCTTGGAGTTAAAATCCTTCTGCAAGTTTTCCTTATTTCAGTCTTCTTACATTTCTTACATGCAACTTCATTGTTAGAATTCTTATCCAATAGGGATTTGGAGTGCTTAATTTGGTCTGGCTTGTAATTACTGAGTGAAAAGGGAACAAGATAAACCTTAGGTGTTTTTCCTAAAACTGTAGTCTGTACTGGTCTCAGAGATACACAAGTGATGTTTTGATTTTCTTTATATTCATTCACCTATTCAGGTCAATAAAAGAAAAGAGAGCATTAGAATCCCAGATCCTATGCCTTTTCTTACAGGTCTGTGTAAATAAATCCAAAGTGATAGCCTGTAACGAAACTTTTCCTCACCAAAATCTAGATACCTAACTCATTAACCTAAATTTAATTATTTATTATAAATGGCTGCATTATTTTATCCATGACTCGGCAAACCAGTAATAATGTAATAATAATTACAGTTGTAACTGAGGAGACTACCCCAACTGTCACCTTCTGAGTAACTGGAATTGTCTTCAGAGTGGGAAGCCGACAATAATTGCCCCACAGGCAAACGCAGAGTCCCTGATCCCATCCTGTCCCTATTTCTAGGGTTACTAATAACCTTCCCCAACGCTGAAGGCCGAGTTTCCATAGAGGAAAATAGGGGGCCGGGATCCCCGATTATCTTTTGAAACAACACCCCCGAAAAACCCGTTAAGCTGAGACATGCCCCAAGGAGCGGAAACCAGTTCCGGAGTGTGGAGGTGGTGGGTGCCAAGTCTTCGTGCCCTCTCGGGCCTGGTCCCGGCAATGCCTCACGCACACCGGGGCAGGAGCGCACCCGAAAGCAACAAGCCGTTGCTCACCTTCATCTGGAGTCGCTGTCTGGAGCCCACCTTCTCCTCACTGCCCGCGCGCGACCCCGACATCTTCCCGCGGCTTAGCAGCTGGCGTCTTCCCGCCAAGATTGCGGCGGGAGGCGCGGGGAGGGGGAAGGGGAGGAGCAGCGGGGCTGAGGCGGGGCCTGGCGGGCGGCTCTGAACGGCTCGGGCGCCAGCGGGCCGCAGGGGAGGGGCACGCAGGCGTTACGGTCGTCTCGGTTCGCGTGGAGCTCACGAGCCTCGCCCCATACTGAAATTCTTGTAATTGGAACGAATACACATTTTTACCTTAGATCTCAGTATTTTTTTGATGCTGCTGATGCCAGTATCTCGCTTTGAAAAACACTGGCGCTTCTGCTGAGAAAAAACCACCTTGCCTTGCAATGTGAGCCTGGAAAAGATTCAGACGCACTTAGATGCCATATGAATAGAGAAGCTAGAAAATCGAAATCAACAGGCAGCCTTTACTTGGGCCCCCCGGTTCCTTATAACCCCACCACCAGGAAATTACGCTCTACGGCTACCACATTACCTTCTTCCTAGAAGGGAAGCATTTTTATTTTTTTCAAGAGCTGATAACTTAAGCTGGTTTAAATTTCACCTCATCATCTGCCCACCAGTTAACTAAGATCCTAATGATGACCTTACAAAGCCCAAAGGCTGGGGAAAAGTTGTGAATCAAATCATTTTTGTACACAAAGTAACAAATAAGATTTTAGTGCCCTGTACTTCGTACAGTCACAGCCATATTAACCTTTTTTTTTTTGTTTCTATTCTCTGGGTTGCCCTAAGTCAAAACAATTGTTTTCCCATGATGTACTCCCTCTGGACAGCATGGTTTTGGAGCTGTTAAATTCAAAACATAAATTTCTACCTACTCTATTTTTAAGATCCTTTTCTTTCTAGCCCAGAACTGTTTCCCTGGCATGGGTCCTCCATTGTTCCTTGCTCAAGACTTGCCCAATTCTATTTCCTCTCCCAGCCTAGACCCAGTTTTACAACACAGGTGAAATAATTTGAGAACTAACCCTATTAACAGTAACATCAGGGCCCTCCATGATCTGATTCTTGCCAAACTCCTTGACTCAAAAATTACTGATAAAATCAAACTTTTCAGTGTTTAATATATACCATGCTATTTCTGTACTTCAAGACTTTTTTCATGCTGTCCCATCTCTCCCTGCCACAACACTTAGGAAATCCTTTCTATGGCCAAATGTGTTCCGACTTCCAGTAAGTCAGTATTTTTTTTTTTTTTTACAAACCCAGCTAGTAAATTGTGATTGCTTCCGTTACCAAGCCCTAGAAGACTTCCTAAGTAAAATTCAAGCCTTTAAACAATATTCCATACTCCTTAGAGAGCTCAGGCCAGTAAACACAGCAAGTACTTAATAATTACTCGTGTACTTCCATACAAACACTGTCTAGCCAGGAATGTTTTAATAGACGGTCTTCAGAAACTAAAAAAACTGGAAAGCCAAAAAGTACACTGTTCTGACTTCAGGCATTGCTCCAGGACCCTTGGGGGATTTTTTCTTTTTTCATGGCAGTAGCCTAAATCACCACCGGCTGCCCTCGCGTGATGACCAAAAAATACCTCACCACAACCCACTCAGCCTCATCAACTGAGCTAATCAGGTGCTGTTAGCAGGACTTCTATTCTCATTAAACTCCAATTCTGAGCTTTCAATAGTCTGGACAAACTGCCCTTCACTATCTGCTCAATTCCTTATTCATCACTATCCCATTTTCCTCGGGTTCAAACCAAGGTAACAAAAGAAACCCGTAATTCGGACCTGCCTCGCCACAGGATTTTAACAGCAAAGCCCAATGGGAAGCGATTTCCCTCCAGAAGCGACGTCCAAACACTGCGAGACGGAAGACGCTAGAGCCGCCTACGACCATGCGCAGTAACAGACTCGACGTCCACAATCCCAGAATTCTCTGGTCGATTATTTCCGGTTTCTCTAGCTCAGCCGTAAGTGCTGTTTCTCTCTGTCGCGCAGCGGTGTCCGGTGCCTGCAGAAGGGGGTTTGGTTTTTTTTCTGTTCGTTGACGTTTTTGCTGTTCACTCTTTGGAATCGCTGAAGTTTCTGGAGTCACCGCCGCTGCCATCAACATGTCGGTCCCAAGCGCACTCATGAAACAACCGCCCATTCAGTCTACGGCTGGGGCCGTCCCGGTTCGCAATGAGAAAGGTACCGTGCTGAGCCTTTTTCGAGTCGGATCTTACCTCTTCTTTCGCCAACCTACTCCACACCTACCCCAGCAGACCACCCCAACCCTCCGACCCTTAAGACCCTGCCCCCTAATTTCTTCGACTTTTCCCATCAAACTCGCACCCGATCGCGTTGCCTGAAGGGGGGGGAAACAAAACCCACTTCCATCGCAACTTGTTCCTATTGCCCGTCTCTGCCGTCGCAGCAAGCATCCCTCTTCCCTTGGTCTCCACCGATAAATTAGACTAATATACATAGTGAATGCCTGCTTTTGCAGGGCGTTGTGCGGGGTACAGTCCCTCTTTTGTTATCCATAGCGGTCTGTTTATGCTGCTTTTATAACTCTTATCATTAGTTTATGTCTCTGTCTCCCTCTACTGCATCGTAAGTTCATAACGTCCTTGAGACAGGAACCGTGTCTTATTAAACTTATCGCTTTTTTTTTTTAAGATTTTATTTATTTACCTGATAAAGAAAGAGACAGCGAGAGAGGGAACACAAGGAGGGGAAGTGGGAAAGGGAGAAGCAGGCTTCCCGCCCAGCAGGGAGCCCCCTGCGGGGCTCTATCCCAGAACCCTGGGATCATGACCTGAGCTGAAGGCAGACGCTTAATGACTGAGCCACCCAGGCGCCCCCGTTTTATTGCTTTCATCCAACGCTGTGACTGTATTAAGTTGAATACACACTTGTGTGAGGTAGTGCCTTTAACCTTAAGGAACTCATACTGTAGTAGATGTGAGACATGCAAAAATAGGCACATTTTAAGCAGTGTGCGATTCCTGTCACATAGGTGATATAAACCAAACAATGTGGAAGGATAGACAAGGAATAATCTCTTCAGATTGAGGTAATCAAGGAAAGCTTCTTGAAGAAAGTGGCATATAAATTGATCCTTAAAGGATGAGTAGGATTCCAGTGCAGATAGAAGAAGGAACACTGCCTGTTTGAGGGGTTAGACTAAACAGTCCCTTTATTCAGGAAAGATTTTGGAAAATAATATGAGTTCTTTTTTTTTTAATATACTATACCTATTCTTGTGCAACTTGCCTTTTTTCTTAAATTCAAGGTGGCTTTTGAGAAGTACCCTTTGATACATATAGAGCTAATGCATTTTAACTACTTATAAATTCCATTGTGTAATTAAACCAGTTTATTCACTACTAAGGAACAGTTAATTATTGTGTTGTTTTTTTCTATTATAAACAGTGCTGTAGTTGTCCTTTTTTTTTTTAAAGTAATCTTTATGCCGAACGTGGTCTCAAACACATGACCCCGAGATTGAGTCACATGCTCCACCAACTGAGCCAGCCAGGCACCCCCTGTAGTTGTCATTCTTAAATGTCTCTTCAGTGCACTGTGTAAGAATTTCTCTAGGGTAGACTCCTAAAAGTTCATCAACCTAACTAGCTATTTCCACTTGCTCTCCACAGTGGGTTGTGAGAGCATTAAGGGTTTGTATTTTCCCATATATTCATCTGCACACTTGGTTGTATCAGATTTTTAAATTTTGCCCAATCTAATTATGAAATATCTTATTTTAATTTGCATTTCCCTGATTACTAGTGAGACTAAGCATTTTCATGCATTTATCAGCTCTCTAGGTTTTCTGTTCTCTGAATTACCTGTTTTTGTCATTTACCCATTTTCTTTTTCTTCATCCCAAATCTGTCCTTTTTCCTGTTTTGTTTTGTTTTTTTGGCTTGTCTTTTCACTTTAATTGTGGAGTTTCCCGTTTCATAGGCATTTTTAATTTTAGTGTTATCAGATTTATCAATTTTATCTTTTATAGCTTGTGTTGTTTTGTATACTGTGTAAGAAATCCTTGCCTATACTAAGATCATAGATATTCAGATTATAATTATTTTCTATCATCTAAGTGTTTGTATATACTAAATAGGATTAAATACACAATTGTGCAAGACACATCTAATTTAAGGAGCTTATAATCCAGTAGGAATGTAAGTGTTTAAGATGTGTTTTCCACACATGGGCTTTAATCCATCTGGAATTTTGTGTGTGTGTGGCATCAGAGATCTAATTTTACTGTTTACCTTATGGTTAACCAGTTGTCCCTACTGTTCCATTGTTTGACTAGCCCATCCATTCTCCACTGCTTTTTTTTTTTTAAGATTTTATTTATTTATTTTTATTTTATTTAAGATTTTATTTATTCATTTGACAGGGGATGGGGCACAAGCAGGGGGAGCAGCAGGCAGAGGGAGAGGGAGAAGCAGGCTCCCCGCTGAGCAGGGCAGAGCTCCATCCCAGGACCCTGGGATCATGACCTAAGCCGAAGGCAGACACTTAACCAACCCAGACGTCCCAAGACTTTATTTTTTTTTTGAGATTTTATTTATTTTTATTTTTTTTAATATTTATTTATTAGAGAGCAGAGAGCATAAGCAGGGAGGAGGGGGGAGAGGGAGAAGCAGACTCCCTGCTGAGCATCAGGGAGTCCGATGCAGGGCTCAATCCCAGGACCCTGGGATTATGACTTAAACCAAAGGCAGATGCTTAACTGACTGAGCCACCCACGTGCCCCAAGATTTTATTTATTTATTTGAGCAAGAGGGAGAGGAAAAAGCAGACTCCCTGCTGAGCAGGGAGCCTGACACTGGATCCCAGGACCCTGAAATCATGACCTGAGCTGAAGGAGACTCTCAATCGACTGAGCGCCCAGGTGCCCTGAGACTTTATTTTTTTAGATCAGTTTTAGATTCACATTTCCCATATACCCTTTGCCCCCGCACATGCATAGTCTCCTCCATTATCCTCCCCCACCGGAGTGATACATTTGTTGCAATTGATGAAACTACATTAACACATCATAATCACCCAAAGTTTACATTAAGGTTCACTCTTGGCATTGTGTATTCTATGGGTTTAGACAAATGTATAATGACATATATCCATTATTATGGTATCACACAGTATTTTCATTGCACTGAGACTCCTCTGTGCCCTGCCTATTCATCCCTCCCCCAACCCAACCCTTGGCAACCACTGATCTTTTTACTATCTCCATAGTTTTGCCTTTTCCAAAATGTCATGTATTTGGCATCATACAGTGTATAACTTTTTCATATTGGCTTCTTTCACTTAATAATATGTATGTAAATTTTCTCTGTGTCTTATTATGGCTTGATAGCTCATTTCTGATTGGCACTGAATAATACTACATCGTCTAGACATACCATAGTTAGTTCATTCACCTAGCGGGGGACATCTTGGTTCCTTCCAAGTTTTGGCAGTTATGAACAAAGCTGAAATAAATATCAGTGTGCAAGTTTTTGTGTGGACCTTAGTTTTCAACACTGTTAGGTAAATACCAAGGAATGCAATTGCTGGATCATATGGTAAGAGTATGATTAGTTTTATAAGAAACCACCAAACTGTCTTCCAAAGTGGCTGTGCCATTTTGCATTCCCACCAGTAACAAATGAGAGTTCTTGTTAGTCCACATTCTCGCCAGCATTTGGTGTTGTCAGAGCTCTGTAGTTTGGTTATTCTAATACATGTGCAGTGGTATCTCATTTTATTTTGCATTTCCCTGACAACATAGGATTTGAAGCAAATATGCTTATTTGCCATCTGTGTATCTTCTTTGGTGAGGTGTGTTAAATTCTTCAGCCTCCCCTTGTTCTTCAGAATTGTCTTGGTTCTTTTTGGCCTCTTATTCTTCCATGTGATTTTAGAATCAGCCTGGGGACAACTATTAATGGAACTGCATTAAAATTATAGGTCGTGCATTTATTGATTAACTTGGGCACAGTTGCCATCTTCTCATACTTGAATATGATATATTTCTCCATTCATTTAGATCTTTTGTATCTTCCAATATAATTATATATTTTTCCTCTGAAAAGCCTTGTACATCATTTGTTGAATTTATTCCTTGGTATCTTGTAGATTAGTTACCATTGTAAATAGTATTTTTAAACTTCATTTTCTAATTTATGTAGCTAATGTACAGGTACACTTATTTTTTTTTTAAAGATTTTATTTATTTATTTATTTATTTGACAGAGAGACACAGCAAGAGAGGGAACACAAGCAGGGGGAGTGGGAGAGGGAGAAGCAGGCTTCCCGCGGAGCACAGAGCCCGATGCGGGGCTCGATCCCAGGACCCTGGGATCATGACCCGAGCCAAAGGCAGACGCTTAAGGATTGAGCCACCCAGGAGCCCCCCGCTTTTTTTTAAACGGATACACTTTTTATCCAGCATTTATTTAGTATTCTAAATAAATACCTTGCCTGTTTGTTTTCTTGTATTTTATACATAGATAACCATAGTCTGCAAATTATGACAGTTTCTTCTTCCTTTTTAGTCCTCACCTTTTATCTCTTTTTCTTTTCTTTTTTTTTTTTTAAGATTTTATTTATTTGAGAGAGAGAAAACAAGCGAGGTGGATGGGGAAAGGGAGAAGGAGAAGCAGACTCCCTGCTGAGCAGGGAGCATGACTTGGGGCTGGATCCCAGGACCCTGAGATCATGACCTGAGCTGAAGGCAGACGCTTAACCGACTTAGTCACCCAGGCACCCCTTTCTCCTTTTTCTTATTGTCCTAATTAGAACCATAATAAAATGTTGACTAGAAGGTGTGATAGGAACAACATAAAGATGCCCACTGGTTTTTAAAGGAATGCTTCTAATATTTTATCATTAAGCATAATTATTGTATCTGTTGTTAAGATTATGTGACTTTAAATATATAAACTTTAGGGACGCCTGGGTGGCTCAGTCCTTAAGCATCTGCCTTCGGCTCAGGTCATGATCCCAGGGTCCTGGGATCGAGCCCCACATCGGGCTCTCTGCTCAGCGGGAAGCCTGCTTCTCCCTCTCGCTGTCTCTCTCTCTGTCAAATAAATAAATAAAATATTTTAAAAATATATATATATATATATAAACTTTAAATAGTATATTACGTTTGACCCCATTAATTTTCTAAGCTTAAGCTGTTCTTGTGGTCCCAAGCTAAATCCTTTGAAGTCATGATGGCTTAGAATTTTTTTGTTAGCTTTTACGTTGCTGGAATAAATTTGCTATTATATTATTTAGTACTTTTTAATGTATGTTTATGAAGAGAAATTCACATAAAGTTTTCCTTTGAACTGTCCAGTTTGGTTATCAAAATTATATCCATCTTATAAAATGTTTTGGTCAGTTTTCACTTTATTCGCAGGAAGTGTCACTTTTTGTAAAACAGATGTTATCTTGGGGCACCTGTGTGGCTCAGTCGGTTAAGCAGTTAAGCATCTGCCTTCAGCTCAGGTCATGATCCCAGGGTCCTCACCAGGGAGCCTAATTCTCCCTCTGCCTCTGCCCCTCTCTCTCTCTCTCTCTCACCTGCTCTCTCTCTCAAATAAATAAAATCTTTAAAAAAAGAGGGGCACCTGGGTGGTTCAGTTGGCTAAGCATCTGCCTTTGGCTCAGGTCATGATCCCAGGGTCCTGGGAGGGAGCCCCATATCGGGCTCCCTGCTCAGTGGGGAGCCTGCTTCTCCCTCTCCCTCTGCCCCCCAACTTGTTCTTGCTCTCTCTAGTGCTCTCTGTCAAATAAATAAAATCTTTAAAAAAAGAGAGAGACGTTATCTTGCAGGTTTGATAGCACATATGCTAAAAGAAAAGGTAGAAATAGGTAAGATTAGAATCTTGAGTTATATGGTGATATAAAGGCTGCCATGAAAAATTCCAGGTGAACTAAAAAAGGGATTGAGCAACATTTTAATTTTCTGTTCCCACCTAAGTCACCCTTATGTGCTGGACACTGTTACAAATAATTCCCTTAAGGATATAATTGAGGTGGAATAGCATGAATTTGTGATGGATGTAATCGTCTGCCTGTCTGGGGGGAATTTTTTCTATTATTTCACCACCTGTCTTTTTCCATTTCATTGTATTCAAGCTCACCTTCTTTATCATTAGTGTTGGTAGTCACAAGAATATTTTCCCATGACTTGGTCTTGGCAGGAAAACACCATTAGATGAATAGATGGTTGGATAGCAGCTCTCTTCTTCTCCTGCTTGAACTCTTGCTTACCAGGAATATAGGGCTCTACCTGCAAAGGCAGAGGTTGAAAGACATTGGGAAAGAGGCTACTGAAACATAATAAGTTATCTTTATCACCCAGGTGAGATTTCGATGGAGAAAGTGAAGGTAAAACGTTATGTGTCGGGAAAGAGGCCAGACTATGCCCCTATGGAGTCCTCAGATGAGGAGGATGAAGAATTTCAGTTCATCAAGAAAGCCAAAGAACAAGAAGCAGAGCCTGAGGAACAGGAGGAGGATTCATCCAGTGACCCTCGACTGCGGCGTTTGCAGAACCGTATTAGTGAAGATGTGGAAGAGAGGTAATTATTAGGGTTATGTTTCCCTGGACCTAAACCCCCACAGGTTAGTTAATAACAACAATAATAGCTAATATTTGCCCAGTACTCACTATGTGCCAGTCTCTGTTCCAAGTATTTACTAATTCTTGTAATCCACCCAATAACCTTATGAGGTATGTATTATTATCCCAGTTTACAAATGGGGAAACTGAGGCACCAAGGAATCAAGAAAATAACATGACCAAAGGTATACAACGAGCAAGTGGCAGCCAGTAAACAGCAGGTTACCTCTGGTCCAAAGACCCTAACTAACTCACTAAGGGAGAAGAAAACACAAACCATTGGTTGGTTTGTTGGGGGGTGGGGGGGGTCTTAAAATTTGAGAAATTGATTTAATTCACTCACTTATCCTAAAGGCTAATGAGGGGAAATGACACCAATGAAGTAGGAAAAAAGGCCTGATGAATGAATGGTCTCAGGTAGGAAAGGGAGCCTCCCAATGAAGGGTTTCGTATGTTGTGTGTTGACTGAGACATTACCTTACAAAGTAGACCAGAGATCCCAAACTTTAACAGTTCATATTGTCCCAGGAATTTTCTCAGGGAGCCCCTAGGCCTATACAGTTCTGTTTATTAAGTAGTTAGATCCAAATAATTCAATAAATAGTCATGTCTTAACATTTAAAGCCATCTGAAAAATATAATATGCGTAAAAGAAAAAACATTTTTATTTCATTCTTACATAACCATAATTACTTATTAGTGGGATTTGTGTGCCTCTTGGACACTGACTACTTCTCAAACCTTAGAATCAGATTGGCACTGTCACTCATTTCCTGTTCCATATTGATCTGCATGCAGTACTTGCTTTTTATACAGCCACCAAAAATCCAATTTCACAAAGATACAATGTCACTGTGCACCCATGTTTATTGCGGTGCCTCATGATGCCTCAGCTTACATTTAACGTTTTAGGTCCAACTTGACTATTTGCCCTGACACTTTGAATTATTTTCTTTTGTCTGCACCTCAGTTTCCCCCTCTCAAGACTTCAGTATTAATAAAAGCAAACATAACCTCCAGGTGCTCTACAACTAAGGAAATGTGGCTGATGCTCTTTCATTTTTGTGATATTGGTGTTACACTTGAAGATGCTATTTTTCAGATTGGCTCGACATCGGAAAATAGTGGAACCTGAAGTGGTAGGAGAAAGTGACTCAGAAGTGGAAGGAGATGCGTGGCGCATGGAACGAGAAGATAGCAGTGAAGAAGAAGAGGAAGAAATTGATGATGAGGTATAAAAAAGGAAAATGGGAAGTTCTTTCTAGGCCCAAGAAAAAGTTGGGGCCTGTTCTCCTTTGTTGAGGTCCCAAAGGCAACAAGCTTGCTGCTTTTGGCAGAACTCTGATCCAGGGTTCCCTATTTGTTGGAGATAGAATTGAAAATAAAATGATGTAAGTTGTATTTACTCATATCAGAATTTGTTAAATGTGATGAGGGGAAATAAAAAGCTTCCTTAGAGCACAGGTCATTGGGCTGACTGACTTGGACATGTGACTTGATAGGAAATAGAGCGGCGCCGTGGCATGATGCGTCAGCGAGCACAGGAGAGAAAAAATGAAGAGATGGAAGTCATGGAGGTGGAAGATGAGGGACGTTCTGGGGAAGAGTCAGAATCAGAATCTGAGTATGAAGAATACACAGACAGTGAAGATGAGATGGAGCCTCGCCTTAAACCTGTCTTCATTCGAAAGTAAGTATCTCACAAAACAGGCCTGAATCCACATAGTTACTACTTTCCTGGTCTGAGGATAGAAGCCTCTTTTCTATCTCATGCTCTTCTGAAATGTCAGCACTGAGTGAAAGTCTTCTGCCCAATTCCCTACCTGTGCAGACTATTTGCTGAGGAATATCATGGTGTTAACAGAGAGCCTGAGTTTGTTTTCACATCTCCCTTTCCAGTTAAAGAGCACATAATCTGCCCACGGACCTATAAAGCACAAAATTAAACTTGAAGAGTGAATTCCTAATCCTTTCCTAAGGGCGAGAAATCCTACTTACAGTCCAGCAGGTTCTTGCTATTCAGGCAGTTCTCACAGATGGATGGAGTTTTAATGCTCTGAATACCTGGGGTGACTCCCAATTTTGGCTCTTTGCAAAAAAAAAAGAGCCAGCAATTGTTGGGCTTTGTCTGATTTGGATGGGACTTGAGTTAGAGGACAAAGAGGTCCACTCTGAGGGCTTTGGGCAATTAACAGGACTTCTATGCTGCAGGAAGGACCGAGTAACAGTTCAAGAACGTGAGGCTGAAGCATTGAAACAGAAGGAGCTGGAGCAGGAAGCAAAACGCATGGCTGAAGAGAGGCGCAAGTATACACTCAAGGTACTGGGAGTGGCTGTAAGGATTGCATGCAAGGAGGAGTGTACTTAGGTTTATCTGAGGAAAATAAGGAAATCCAACAGGTGAATTGTTCTCCTTACCCAGATTGTAGAAGAGGAGACCAAGAAAGAGCTGGAGGAGAACAAGCGATCCCTGGCTGCACTGGATGCTCTCAATACTGATGATGAAAATGATGAGGAAGAATATGAGGCATGGAAAGTTCGGGAGCTAAAGAGAATCAAGAGGGACAGAGAAGATCGAGAAGCGTGAGTAATAAGATGGACCTAGAGTTTAATATCAGTAATGGGATGGGTTCCTAGTGGGGTAGGAGTGAGGTTCAACACCAACTGTGAGTTCCACTCCAGATTTCTTTATGGTTCCTGCAGCTGAGTGAGTTTTCCATAATTGGAATGTGGCTTATTACAATGAAATCAGGGAAAAGAAACACTTTGTCAGTGTTTCTCTGTGATAGAGTGCCAGCTGATACTCCCTGTAGTTTTCTAGTAGACACGCAGACATTATTCACTGTTATCAGTTATCTGTTCTTGCATAAAAACCCAGTTCAAAATTTGGTGACTTGAAACAACTGATTATTCCTCACAGTGTTCGAGTTTGCTAAGCAGTTCCTCTGCTGGTTTTACCTAGGCTCTCTCATGCAGTTGCATCCAGCTAGAGGATTGGCTGGGCTAGAGTGTCCAAAATGGGTTCATTCACATGTCCAGTAGTTAATGCTAGACTGCCTTACTTCTTCAGTGGGCTAGACTGGATTTCTTACCTAACAGTCTCATGGCAGTATTCCAAGAGGGCAAAAGTGGAAACTGGCAAGGTCTTTTAAGGCTCACATGTCATTTCTGCAAAGGGGCATGCATACTCTGGGGGGGAGAATTTGTGGCCCTTAAATAATCTGCCACAGTCACTATTGTTAGAGCAGAATAATTTCTGAGCTGCATCACCCATTCTTGAAAATTACTAGCAGTGAGAGGGTAATCCCAGATTACAAAGGGAAACCATCAGTAGAAAACTCTGTCCTCAGCCTGCATTTTCTAAGATTTTTATACTGGGTTTCAAGGAGTCCATGTACCCTTTAAAATTATATACAAAATTACATATATTTGTATTTTTCTGGAGAAAGGGGGTCTTTGGCCTCCTTCCCCCAAAAAGGGTTAGTCCCTGCAATCTAATTAATGATGGTAACCCTTGGTTTGAGACATGTAAATACATATACAATTACTTTAAAAAAATACCAATAAAATCTTAACATGGTTATGTTAAATTCTGATATTTTTTAAAGCCAAGTAGGCTTTTTAAGGAAGGGGAATTACTAATACTGCAAAATCAAGCAGTAATAGTATGTCTGAACTTTATAAAGGCTAGAATAAACTTCTGGAAGTTTGCAATAAGACCACCTCACCTTTTTTATTTGTTGGGCTCCTGATCTTAATTCCTAACAGGCAGTAGCTAGAATTAAAGTGAATAATGCTTGAAAGGAGGTGAGACTGCATTGTGTTCAGATAATTTGAGTCTCTCTGAAGCTGGAATGATACTAATAAATAATTTTGTTCTCTGCACAGGCTTGAGAAGGAGAAGGCAGAAATTGAACGAATGCGAAACCTGACTGAGGAAGAGAGGCGAGCTGAGCTTCGGGCAAATGGCAAAGTCATTACCAACAAAGCCGTTAAGGGCAAATATAAGTTCTTACAGAAGTATTATCACCGGGGTGCCTTCTTCATGGTAAGTGAAAAGGGAATGAGCTGTAGAAGTAACTTAGAACTTTTGAGTTCTTTTCTCCCCCCAAGTATAAACTGTCCTAGGATGTTACTTCTACTTGCCAATGATCAGTTTTCTCATTTGCTTTTTGCCTCTGAAGATACAAACCCAATAGGAAAAAGCACTGGCAACAGGATTTTACCAGTAGCAGCAACTGTTCTCTCTTTTGGCCCCAGCTATCGGGGGGAAATGGTGTAACAGAAGAACTAAGGAACTAAAAATAGACAGTGAACTGTATAGATAGATAAGATTATTTAAATCCCCAAAATTAATTAGATGTTACTCTTCATAGCAGAGTAAGAAGTTTTGCTTATGCAAATATTTGGGAGGCAGAAATTTAATTCACTTCATTCTGAGCTGACAGAAAGTGACTAAGCCTAACTAACCAATAAAAATGGTTTATTATCTAACCATTATGTGTAATACCATCAAAATTTTGTTCTTCATATAAAGACCAAGGTCAAAATAACAATCTGTTAACCCTGTATAAAGTGATGAGGACTTCTTCCAAATTATTTAGATGATACCAGTGATAATTTGTTAATGGAGAGATGTCAGGAAAGGGAAGCAAAGAATTGATTGCATTTATTACTGTAATAGCATGTGGTTTGTTAAATTACTACCTGATGCTATCCAAGTTTGAATCAAAAAGTAGACTCATTTTTTTCAAATGCTATTATCAAACCCTAAAAATCCCTACTGCAGCAAGATTCCTGCCTTTCATTGTAGATACCAGTAAAATCTAAACTTCAGTGAAGGGTTCCTTATTCCCCTCCAAAATCAGTTTCAGTCTACTCAGCCGGAAATGTTTGCTTATTATGTAGTGTCCTAGCTCATGCAGTTTTCTAGATTGGAGTCATTGGAGATTATGAATTATTTCTTTACTGCTTTAAGGTCATTAAGTATCATTGCTTATACATTTGAGCAGCTTTAATAAGCTTCTGAGAGAAGCAGTGCATTGCTTCTAAGATAAGCTGGCTAAGATACATAAGGAAAGGTTTATGTAAAAGTCTTTTGGTGCACATACTCAGTGAACTCTCCTCATCTGGATAAGGAGAGTGAAGATAAAATATCTTCTGAGATTAAATGAGGGACTCAGCCTCTAACAAGGAGAAAAGTAGATCTCACAAAAACTGTCTTACCTTTAAAGCCTTTCTGTAGCTGAAGAGAATACTCCAAAAGTGTATTTGGTTGAAGGACTCAGCTGTTCCACAAAGCTTTCCTTAATCAAAATGGTACTGTTTTAATTCCTTTACCACATGTACAATTTGTATCATAACATTATAGTTTTACTAGTATGTTGATTTGTAACTTCTCTATTTTTTTATATATAGTCTATTAAGTAAATAACCTTTTGAGCATTTACTGTGTAGAGGGCACTCCTGGTTTTTGTTTTGAGGGGGGTGGTTTAAAGATTTATTTATTTATTTTAGAGAGAGAAAGCATGAGCAGGAGGGGCAGAGGGAGAGGGAAAAAGAACCGCAAAGCAGACTCCGCACTGAGTGCATAGCCCGATGTGGGGCTCAGTCTCACAACCCTGAGATCATGACCTGAGCCGAAACCCAGAATCAGACATCTAACTGCGACCCAGGCACCCATTTTTTGTTTTAAGTAGGCTCCATGCAGAGCCCAATGTAGGGCTTCAACTCACAACCCTGACATTAAGAGTTGCATGGTCTAGGGGCACCTGGGTGGCTTAGTCAGTTGAGTGTCCAACTCTTGATTTCAGCTCAGGTCATGATCAAGTGAGATCAAGTCCCATGTTGGGCTCTCCTCTGGATGTGGAGCCTGCTTGGGATTCTCTCTCTCCCTCTCCCTCTTCCTCTGCTCTTCCCTACTCCCTGCCTCTCTGTCTCTCTCTCTTAAAAAAAAAAAGTTGCATGGTCTACCAGCTGAGCCAACCAGGAGCCCCAAGAACACTACTGTTTGACACTGCTACAGGATATAAAATTATTGCCCTCAGATGGCTTACAACCTAAAAATGGGGTTAAGGCAAACATATACTATACTATGACATAAAGACGAATGAAAATACTGTGGGATTTCTGAAGAGGGAGATGTTTTACTTTGTAGGAGATGGAGAGGGATAACATGAAGGAGGGCACATTTAAGATGTGTAGACTTGGGCGCCTGGGTGGCTCAGTTGGTTAAGCAACTGCCTTCGGCTCAGGTCATGATCCTGGAGTCCTGGGATCGAGTCCCACATAGGACTTCCTGCTCGGCGGGGAGTTTGCTTCTCCCTCTGACCCTCCTCCCTCTCATGTTCTCTGTCTCTCATTCTCTCTCTCTCAAATAAATAAATAAAATCTTAAAAAAAAAAAAAATTTGTAGACTTGCTGACTTCAGTAGTAGACATTCCATGTGAAGGGACTAGGAGTGGAGGCAAAAAGCATCATCTGTAAAGGGAGTTGGCAAGGAGAGGTAGATTACAGCTATATGTTATTTGGCCTTGACTACTATAGAGGAGTTGTGCTTATTTAACAAAACAGAATCACTGGAAGTTTTTGAGCAAGGCAAAGGTATGAGGGTGTGTTTTAGAAACATTAGCCTAGTGGCACTGTGTAAGGTTGATTCTAGGGAAAAACTATAATAACCCAGGGAATTAGAATTTATAAGTGGAAACTCATTATGCACAAAGTTTACATAAATTTTGAACCTGAGTAATTGAGAAAATGTTGGTTCTATTAACAGAAGAAGTTAAATCAGGAAGAGCCTGGTTTGAAAAGGTTAGGGAAATGATTTTCACTTTAGGTATGAGTCTGAAGTCCCAACAGAATATCCAAGCTAAGCTATATAATGGGCAGTAGAAAATTCAAAATGAGATTTCAGAGGCTTCTACAGAGTTGAAGTCATATGACTGAATGAACATATTGAGTACAGAGAGAATACAGCCAACCTTCAGGAAACATCCACATTTAGGAAGAAAAAAGACAATACAAAGAGAGAAAGGAGTATCATCTCAACTACATGTAAGCTCATGAATAGGTTCAGTACCCTCATTCTTTGTATCCCTTGTCGTAGAGGTTAATAAATTAGTGGTTTGAATATATAGGCAATAAAAATCACAAGATTGGTAATACTTTTTTTTTTTTTACAGGATGAGGATGAAGAAGTATACAAGAGAGATTTCAGTGCACCTACCCTGGAGGATCATTTCAACAAAACCATTCTTCCCAAAGTCATGCAGGTATGGGGTACCTTAAGAACATGAGAGAGAAAAGTTATGTATTGAGGATGTTATGTTTGGTGGTATAACTCATAATCTATCCTTCCTTGATCAGGTCAAGAACTTCGGGCGCTCTGGTCGCACCAAGTACACCCACCTTGTGGATCAGGACACCACCTCTTTTGACTCAGCATGGGGCCAAGAGAGTGCCCAGAACACAAAGTTCTTTAAACAAAAGGCAGCTGGGGTACGAGATGTATTTGAACGGCCATCTGCCAAGAAGCGGAAAACTACTTAAGAGTTCAACTACTTCCAGCTGGTGAGACACAAGGGACTGTCTCAGCATCTGGTCCTTGATTTGCTTTTACCATTATTTACATGGCCCCTGTATCCAGCCTATTGGACCTACTGCCATACTTGTGACACTGGGCAATCCAGTCTTTGAAGGTGCTTTGTGAGGTTTGGACTCATGCTGAGAAACCCACAGAAAAGCACTATCCAGGTAGGATCAGAGGCTCCCCACTTAAAACCATTTCTGCAAAATCTTACGTTTCATCACTGGTCTGCTTCCCAGATTCACTTGGGACTATTCCAGGTTTCTTTTTCCAGCCTCTTAGCTTGGGTTATAAACAAGGGCATGTAAGTGGACAACGCTACCTTACAGTAAATCTCAGCTCACAGATCTCTGTTTTGCATTTTTGGTTGGAGTCAGTTTTTCTATGTGAACGTATTTTTTGATCCATTTATGTGTGTGTCAAGAAATAAAAGAATCATACACCAAGGGCGCCTGGGTGGCTCAGTCAGTTAAGCGTCCGACTCTTGGTTTCAGCTCAGGTCATGATCTCGTGGTCGTGGGATCAAGCCCCACATTGAGCTCCGTGCTCAGCTCAGAGTCGGCTTCAGATTCTCTCTCCCTCTGCGCCTGCGCCCTGCTCTCTCGTAAATAAATAATCTTTTTAAAAAAGAATCCTACACCAAGAGGTTTCTTTTGATACTGGAAATAAAATGGGCAGGCTGACAAGAATCTTCCTATGAAATAAAAGACCACAGAGAATTGTTGGGCAAAGAGTGTTTCACATTCTGATCATCACCTTTGATCTCAGAAATTAAGATGCTGGACAGGCTATATTCTAAGTGGCACCCAGATTTACTCCATGAGCAGATACATGTATGGTTTTCTTTGCTCTCTAAAATATAGCTGTATTTAGAACAAAAGTTTACTTATGAAATAGGGAAGCCAAGTACTTACCAGTACCCTCCACACTCAGCTTGTATGAGGGTATAGTGTTTTCCAAGTTGCAATGTAATGACATCAAGCTAGAGTTAAATTCAGTGGTTTTCCACTTAATATTTATTACATAACCACCATGCACATGGCAGAGCACTAGGAGTCCTAGGGGTTATAAGGAATGACATTTAATCAGTGGGAAGGATATTTCTCAATTACATAAAAAAATGAGAGGGTCAAGGTCTTTTCACCATCTTTTAAATGCCCCACTGGAAGAAGCATTCACAAATCTTTCATGTCCTAAAATAAGACTATGAATACAAATTCCTAGGAGGTAATAACACATTAATCTGAGTATAAGTCACTTATGTGTGTGCCAGACGGATACAATCTTAAGATTTTCCTAGAGCCAAAATGAGAATAAGATACTGAAATTCTTTTAAGAATATGTTTATAGCTGCTATTTGAGTGTCCACTCTGAGGCAGGCAGTAGTCCAAGCTTTTCACATTCACCAACTCTTTAAGTTCTTAAAACAACCTGTCAGGTATGTATCATTTTACAGTTGGGGAAACAGAAGCTCAGCAAGGATGACTTGGCCAAAGGTTGGTCAACTTTTAAAGTAAAACTGTCTTCTCTCCAGGGTGGGAAATGGAATGTAAGGCACAGTGTTGTGGCGGTTCAGAATTCAATTAAATCAACTTCATAAATCAAAGCCTTTCATAGATTAATTCTGCAAAAGACCTAACCTTTGATATCTTTTATTGTATTTACCATGTTTCCAATTCGGTACCTAAATTCTAACTCTAAGGGGCTTATGAATAAGGTGCCTGGGTCGCTCAGTCGGTTAAGCACCCAGCTCTTGATTTTGGCTCAGGTCATGATCTCAGGATCATGAGATCGAGCCCTGTGTCAGGATCCATGCTGGGTGTGGAGCCTGCTTGGGATTCTCTCTCTCCCTCTGCCCCCCAACACCCACCCCCACCATGCACTCTCTTAAAAAAAAACATTTTAAAAAAGTGGCTTATGAACAAGATTGGTGGTATATAAACCACCCTAGAGACCCATGCCATGGGCTTCAGCAACTTTGCTGAAATTCCAAATGTACCCTGAATACCACTGAAAGCTAGTCAGATGAATGAGCCTGGCCTGCCACCTAGCATCTGCATGTGAACATGAGGTCATGAGGTACCACTCTGCACTGATCCTTCACATGATTTCATTAAGGCCAGAGGCGGGGGGAGTTGCTTAAATTCAGTTATACTCCAACATGTAAATTTCCCACAATAAAATACGGTATAATATACAAAACACTCGATCCAAGATGATAGAACTGCAAAAAAAAAAAAAGGCTACATCTTTATTGAAATAAAATAATCCAGTGAGTGGGTCTGAGAAAGCACAAATCAGTTGGTTAGGGCAATAAGAGCCTCTACCACGTTGCCCATGTGTTCCCTCAAGCTCCGTTCTGCTGCTGCTCTTGAGATCTCCATCTCTGTCATCTGCAGGAAAAGGATCGATGATGTTACCTAAGTTTCTTCTGGGGCATTAAAATGCCACCAAGACTTGTTGACTCTACTTGTTTCAGTAAACAACCCCAATTAAGCAATGTAACCTCTGCCCATACACTAGTTAGGCATTACTACTCACTATCAGCTCCAGATCTTCCTTCTTAATGGTGACTTTGGCCAGTTCCTTCTCCCTGCAAATATTCATGTACATTAGTCCTCATTCTCTACCTCCATCATTAACTCTCAGAAAGATCATTTCCAGCTCTGCCTTACAAATAAATGACTCCTGACAAACACTGTTGAGTGAAAATACAAAATGACTCTCACCGCCTCACCTAACATCCCCATCCCCTCCCCTCGAGTCTTTACAGCAGGCAGCAGGTGCTGTCAGGCCTTTCCTTCCACCAACAACAAAGTAGGGTTGTAAACCTTATATATGCAGAAATCGGTGACAGAGTTGAAGAACGGTACAAGGTAAAGGCTTAACGATGGCTTTTATTTTCGTAAGGGGAAGAGAGGAACTGGTAGGGCTGGCTGTGCGTACAGACTTACCGCTCCTGTTTGGCTTTCTGCTCCCGGGACCGTCTGTCTCCAATCACGGACATGGCCTATGAGAAAAATAGATCTCCTTACCGCTCTGCCACCCACAATTCCCAATAATCTAAAAAGCTAGTAAGAAGTGGGTCGGCGCGGGGGGGGGGGCGGGGAAACAGCCTATTCATGATGAGTGTATCAGGAACCAAGGCCTAGGTTTAACTTAATTCCGTGCACCTGAGGGCCACTTTAAATACAATCTCCATAAAGCTCCCCTTCGCAAGCGGCGGGCTCCAGTGACGGTTTCCCTCTTGCCTCCTCCCGCCAACGGGAAGGGGAGCCCGTCCTGGAGCGCGGATTCCAGTTACAACCTGAGAGGCCCCTCCGCTCTCAGCCCGCCCAGACACGCTCACGGCCAACCTCACCGTCTCCAGATTCGAACTCTGGATCTCCTTCTCCTCTGCGTAGTCGGTGACTCTCTCCAGGTCCGCCGCACCGCTGTCATGCTTCCGTGGCTTCTCGGGAGGCCGCTCCGGGCCGCTGGTCTCAGTCTCCAACTCCAGCTCCACATCCCCCTCGGTAGCCATATCGATCCCACCGTGCCGCTGCACAGGCCCCGCCCCACCTCATGAAGACTTCCGGTAACTGCCCCGAAACTTCCGCCCGGAGAGGATGAGGCGGGGCTGGCCTCGGGCCACACCTTCACTAATGTCCTGGGTTCTAGAAACTTCAGCCAGGAAAGTCGGTCGCCTCTCAGACTTCCTTTGGGGGGGTTCTAGTGTTGTTTTATGCAAGACCCTCTCCCACACCTAGCCGGTCACCACTCCAGACCTTCCCAACGTACATCCTTACCTTCCGTTCACCTAGATTCTACCCACTCCATCCCATCCCACCCCCCCGCCATTCTGTTCAACCAGGATGGATGACGTCTAATCCTAAACCAATTAAGAATGCTAATCCACTAGAGGCCAGATTTGCAAACTGCTCTCTAATCTGGGGAGAACTGCCTGTGTGGCCCAAAGGCCCTGGAGAGAAAGTAGATTTAGAGAGAGATTTGCATTTACCACATCCTGGAGGTCGGTGTTCTTTTCCTGATGTTCCTCCCCATTCTGCCTTAGACTGGGTGACCACCCCAGCACTGTGGCAGCCCATGGCTGAGGACAAAAGAAAGCTGCTACTTTCTCCTCTACCTTCCATCTGGTGGACCTGGGCCTAATCCCTGGGACAAGGATGGTGGGTGCAAAGGCTGTTACAGGCCCCAGCACTTCTGTCCGCCTGGCACAACGCACTGAAGTCAGCAGTGTCATGGTGAATCCTCCCTTCTACCAGGTGAGAGCATAGTTGGGCAGAGGGGCTTGAAAGGTCCCCAGAGCAAGAACTATCTGAAAAAAATGGAAGGGAATGGTAGCTGAAGCTGGGGAGGAAAACCCATAGGAGCCAATAAAAATGACAGGCCTTCCCTTTCTCCTCTGAGGCCTTTACGTTTCTTTGCCCCTGAGACTACTGATCATTAAACCTCTCCTCCCACTTCCCAGTACCAGATCTGTAGGTCTACAGAAAGGTGAGAGGCCAGGTGTGACTTAGGCTTTTAGGAAGGTCTGCTCAAGCCTGCATCAGCTCTTATGATGAAAGCTCTACTTGATGTCAGTGGAAGGCAATCCTAAATAGCTTGGAACCAGATTCTGAGAATTCCTGAGTAAAAGGAGAGAAGAAAAGGGAAAGGGAAATTTTGGAATTCAGCCTCATGGTTAATCTAATGCATACATTAATGTAAGCTTTTCCTCAGCAAATCTCTATCTTGCTGCTCTACCCCCAGGTGTCCTGCTGTGGGCCTATTCCCTGTACCTGCTGCTGCCATTCTAGATGGCCCCTTGTCACAGAGTCTACTTGTAGCCGTCTGGTCTACATCCTCCTCCATGTGGGGTCCTCAGCAGTCTGCTGCCTCCTGCTGTCAAGGACAGTAGTGGAAAGGGTCTGGGGGAAGGCACACGGGGTAAGTGGGAGGGTTCAGGTTCCAACAGGAGAAAGGGAAAAAGAAGAAACCTTCAGACAAAAGATTCAGATTGGGGTTAAGGGACAAGTGAATGGATATACCCTGAGAAGCAGGTACCTCTCTATACATGATGATTTGCCCTGCCATTTCTCACATGCACTCTCCCTCCAGATCCAGATGCCCTCAGGATTGTGTGCCCATCTGTTTGGCCACCCTCACTGCCCAGTGCTCAGTGGCTCTGGAGCTGTGTACCGAGTATGTGCAGGAACTGCCACCTTCCACCTGCTGCAGGCTGTGCTGCTAGTCCAGCTCCACTCCCCCACTAGCCTACGTGCACAGCTCCATAACAGGTTTGTGTATATACATTTTGGGTGGGGTGAGGATGGGGAGGGACGTAGACATAAGCTTAGTAAAGGAAATTCAAAGATGAAGTAACTGTATAAAAAGTCCAAAACCAGTTTTAAGTTCCTGCTTCCGCCATACTTACTGTGTGACCATGAGCCACATACTTACCCTCTTTGAACTTCTAGTTTCTAAAATGGAGATAACAGTGGGGTTATTATATGCAACCCTTTGTCAACTGTGAAACATTGTCCAGATGTTATTATTTAGGTATCTGAGAGTTAGAATTTGGAATAGGCTGTGATGGGCCTGTTTCCAGCCCCTCTCACGTGGGACTGGTTCCTTTCCTATACTTAGTTGTTTCTTCTCTCCCCTTTCCTATAGTTTTGCTTTCTCCTTTGCCTTCCTCCATAGGCACTGTTGACTCTCCTTTGCCTTTTCTTGAGTCTTTTTTTGTCTCCTAACCAGCTTCTGGCTCTTCAAACTGCTGTTCCTGCTAGGTCTCTGTGCTGTTGCCTTCTGCATCCCTGATGAGCATCTCTTCCCAGGTACCTTCCATCTCATATCCTAATCAGCAGGAGTAAGCTAATAGATTTTCTAAGAAAAAGAAAGGGTAGGAAGAAAACCAGGAGTAATGACATGGTCAGCTACATTTTCCCACTGGTGCCCCCCATTTGCAGCCTGGCATTACATTGGCATCTGTGGAGGCTTCACATTCATCCTGCTGCAGTTGGTGCTTATCACAGCCTTTGCCCATTCCTGGAACAAAAACTGGTAAGGAGCACCTAACCCTAAAGGCTCTTCCTGGGAAGGTTGTCTGACCTGGAAAGGTTGTCCAATCCAGTGTGGTTGGACAAAGGGCATGACAGGTCAGTGGTCCCCTAACTTCCTACTGAGCAGTACCAAAAAGCTCAGAAACATGACTCTGTGGGCTAGGTGGGATGGGTAGTCACACTACTGTTCTGGGAGACGGGGAAGAGTAACAGGTAAAGAGTTGGAGCCCCAAGCCACTGCCCACCTCCCACCCTTAGGCAGACCGGTGCAGCCCAAGACTGCCGCTGGTTCCTAGCTGTACTGCTGGCCACCCTGGGATTCTACAGCATGGCAGGTGTGGCAGCTGTGCTTCTGTTCCGCCACTACACACACCCAGCTGGCTGCCTGCTCAACAAGATGCTGCTTAGTCTACACCTTTGTTTCTGTGGCCTCCTCTCCTTCCTCTCCGTCGCTCCCTGCATCCGTCTCAGTGGGTACATGCCTTGCAACATTCCAAATCTGGTAGGCCTTTAGTAATAGAAAAATTAGCTTCCCTAATCTTAGTCAACAGTCTGCTTCCTCCAAAGAGTGGGGAGAAGCGTAGATAGGAGTATGAGTGGAAGAAATTACCACCCTGTAGACAAAAGCAATGATCTCCATTCTCCCCAGAGCAACCCCGTTCTGGCCTTCTACAAGCCTCCATCATCAGCTGCTATATCATGTACCTGACTTTCTCTGCAGTGTCCAGCCGTCCTCCAGAGAGTGGTAAGGACTGGACCTAGATTCCCCATGCTAAAACCTTTTTTTGTTCCTGACAAATACTTAGCTCTTTGTTCTTACCACCTTTCTTCTGTTGCCCCTTCTCAGTAATCCTTCAAGGACAAAATCACACTTTGTGCTTGCCTGGCCTGAGTAAAATGGAATCGCAAACACCAGATACTTCTCTGGCAGTGCTAAGTGCTGGCATCATGTATATTTGTGTCCTTTTTGCTTGGTGCGTAAAGGTATCAAGGGGAGAGGTGTGAGAGAAGGGAGGATACCCAGGACAGAGAAGGATGGTCAGGAGACTGTCTGGGACCATGGTTTATTTGAACTTTAGAGCAAGACAAGAGTGAGGAAAGTTCCCCATAAACAGAAACAATTTCTAAGAATAGCACTTGTCAGATGATCTGTATTAGATGAAGGGGGCAGGGAGAATGACTTGAGAATTAAAAATATGTACAAAGGTTTTAGGGCCCTCACATGACGAGATTTATAAATATTTGGGGGAAACAGGCTCTGGGAATATAATACCCTCCTGAGGACTACCAATATGGACCAGCTAGCAGTACATGTTCTCAGGCAACCCCTCCTGCTATTTGACTGAACGCGCTTGAGAACTCTCTCTTCTTTCTCAGCAATGAGGCTTCCTACCTGGCTGAGGTATTTGGACCCCTATGGATTGTCAAGGTTTACAGCTTTGAGTTCCAGGTGAGGATGGAGAGCTCAATATCCCCAATGCCCTTCCCCCCTCACACACAAAGACACACACACATCCTACCAACCTCTACCCAGAATGCTCAGATTCTAGCTGCTATTACCTTTTATTAAGTACCCACAATGTGCTAAGCACTGTGCTAGATACTTTACATTCATAATCTCATTTAATTTAATCCTCACAACAACCCTGTGAGGTAGGTATTTGCTCCATTTTACAAATGGAGAAATTGAGGCACAAAAAGTTAAACATCTTACCAAAGTTTTCATAGTCAGTTATGCTGGAGCTAGAATTTGAACCCAGATGTGCCTCCACTTTTTACACCAGACTAATCTTTTCAAAGGAGAGTTTCCTCTATACCCTCACATTCTTTAAAAAAATCATTCCAAAACATGCTGCCTTTTGTTTTACAGAAGCCCTCACTCTGTTTCTGCTGCCCTGAAACAGTGAAACCAAAGGAAGGTAAGTGTCATTAAGAATGTCCCTAAAAAAGTGTAGATTTCTGCAGAGTGCCGAAGAGCCCTGGAGCGCCTTCACAAAAGAAACTGGGGGAGGAGGGAAGAAATTTCAGCCACACTGCTCCCAGCAGTCCTTCCCTCTCTCTCCAGGGCAGAGGGGTGGGGCTGCCAGGCCAGCTGACCAAGAGACCTCTCCAACTCCTCCAGTGCAAGCCCAGCATCTCTCCTACAGCTATTCTGCCTTCCATTTTGTCTTCTTCCTTGCATCACTCTATGTTATGGTTACCCTTACCAACTGGTTCAGGTAGGATGGAAGTGGGCCTGGGATATACTGAAAACCTATTTTAGGGAGAGCAATTTAAGGCCATTCCTAAGGGTTCTCAGGAAGACACACAGAGGTCCACCATCATCTTTGGTGGGGAGGTAGGAACAGGTCTGAAAGCTAAGGTCCTATGTATTCTCTAACCAGAGACTTTGGTTCCGCAG